AATGGCTGCAATATAACAGAGTGAAAAATTTAAGGGGGTCTGAATACTTTCCGTACCCACTGTATGTATGTATGTGTGTGTGTGTGTGTGTGTTTTCCTTAACTCTGTGTTCAAGTGTTGATCTCAGTGGAAGTCTGAGAACAGAACATCCTGTTTTAGTTTTATATGTCTGTATTCTGATATTTTTTTCTCTCTTATTGAAATGCGGAATCTAATAATGGGTTAATTTATAAGATAAAATAAAAAAAGATGTAAGTCATATTAGTTGGTTTACCTTTATCACAATATCACAATGAATAGGTGGATTTTAAATCATTTTACTATTTTGATTCGACAGGATGTTCATTTCTGTAATTTTTAAAGAATAAATAATAATTTAAATAAATATTCTGATATTTTTTTCTCTCTAATTGAAATGCTTAAACAGAATCTATTTATGGATTAATATAGAAGACGCAATAAATAATAAACTCACATTTTTTGAAGATGTACTGTAAATAACAGTAGTTGATCACACATCACAATAAACTGGCGGATTTTTAAATAATTTTACTCTGATTATTTTGATGGATTTTTTTTGTTCTTTTTTATATAAATATTTTTCGAGAAATAATCTTATATTCTTTTCCTCTCTCTAATTGAAATGCTTCAAACTGAATCTGAAACATTTCTCAGAAACATTGTTTTAATTTACGGGTAATCAAAGTATTTTTAGGTAACAGACTCAGATTGTTATTATAGAAATCAGTATAATAATTTCACAATTTATCACAACTAATATTAACTCTTTATTTCCATCCTGTTCATTTGTCAGAGTTAATGTTTTGAAGAGTTTGATCAGAATATATTATGCTTTTATAGATATACTATACTCTAGTAATCTCACATGGAAAGCTGCATTAAGAGCTTGTAATGCAGCAGTTATTGATCTTTAGTCATACGAACACATTGCTTTTGTAGAAAATGTTCATGCAGTAGAGAACAAGCGTACGAAACTTCACCTCTAACCAATGTTCCCTCTAATTTTCTTTCTTGCTGAGCAAAAATATTGTCTCTATTGGGCAGACATTTCGGCCACCCGAGCGAAAATATTCTTTATGCCAGACCTGTACAGTGCAAAAAAAGTGTGTACATTTAACTGTAATGTGCTATTTATATTTGATTTGACCCACATTTGAAATATTTGAAATGATGCACATTTTAGGTTACCTGAGAAAATATTTTTTACAGAAGAAATTCTATTAAAAAATCATTTAAAAAAATCTCACGCAGAGGAGTTAATTTCTTTATAATAATATAATATAATATAAAATGAAGCAGTTATGGCTTATGAATTCCCTTTTGAGGTCAATTATTTATTAGACTTATAATGTAATAATAATAAAACTCTTAAAAGGTAAAAATAAAACTTTTCCAAAAAAAAAAAAAAAACGTGAACGTGCATTCTTTTACAGTTATCTAAAACATCACACTACACCAGTGTGTGACTGTAAATGTTTCGGCGTTTATATTTATATTATATTTTATATTTCCAGCACTTAATCAGGCCACTCTTCTTTAAAGCATGATGAGGTTTTATTTCACGTCATTGCGTTTGCGTTGGCTGTCGTGTTGGACTATTTCGTCCGCAACCATTAAAGTATTCGATTTCTACAGCGACTCATTTGGCGCACATAAACCTGTAAACCACAATCACCGGTTCTTACTCTCTATAGCGACACCAACTCAATAACGGTTTGCCTGAGCATTGCAGTTATTTCACATATAACTAGAATTCAATCAAATGGCTTTCCCAACTTATTTTTGCGTCTGTCCTGTGCGTGGCGTATTATTTCCTCTGCGCGGTCGCGCACACGCGCAGCTTAGAGGGAACAGTGCCTCTAACCTAACCACTGTCAATGCTTTGAGGAACTGGCAGGTTGTTGGTTAAATGTTCACCACTTTAACAAAACGCTTCAGATTGAGTTTAAGGATGCGACACTTTGCGGTCTGAACTGTGGTCAGTAATGAAGTTATGATCCGCCCCGGCTGGGCTGTGGACACTCAAGGTCAGGCGTGTGTGTGTGTGTGTGTGTGTGTGGATGAGCTCATGCGTGTGACTGTAATTGTTCTTTAATGAGCCGTAAAACAAAGCAGTGCTGCTCTCCGTCACCTCTCCTCTTCCTCTTCCTCTTCCTCCATCCACCTTCCTCCCGTCACATCTGGAGCTTCTCATCAAACGCGCATCTGAGAAAGCAACCATCTATTGTCTTAGGATTCAGTGGGACTATTTCAGTTTCTAATTGTACAATGAAAACTCTGCATGAATCTTACTTTAAATCTGCAGTGTGTCATTTCTAAAAAACGGTGCATAAATATGTAAAGTTCTTTAAATTTGAATTTTTATGCATTTGGTGCATTACAATTTTGTCCAAAGTGATTCACGTTGCATTAAAGTTACTCAGTACTTTTGTCTTGTTTTCCAGTACAAATATCAGAACATTCCTAAATCAATATGCATTTACTTGAACAGCAAAATGACTCAAGATATTAAGTCTTGTTTTCTGAAACAATTATCAAAATGAAGTTAATTTTTTTCTTATAACAAGGAAAAGAAATATGTGCCAGTGGGGTAAGAAAAATAACCTTGTTTTCCCTTTGAGGTAAGTTTATTTTTCTGAGCTTATGGGTTAATTTATAAGATATAATAATAATAAACTAACATTTTTAAAGATGTAACTGACATTACTTGGTTTTCTTTTATCACAGTATTTCAATGAATAGGTGGATTTTAAAAAGTTTTTCTACTTTGGTTTGATAGGATGTTCATTTTTTAAGAAATATTTTTCAAGAAATATTCTTATTTTTTTCTCTCATGCTTTAGAACATTTAAAACATTGTTTTAATTGGTGATCAGTTGATAAGTATAATTAGGTTGCAGCCTGAAATATTCCTCTAATTGTTCCCAATTCCGTCAGTTAAGTTATTAGCAATGGTTTTGATGAATCAGTGTTATTTTAGTAGTATTGAGATACTTTTAATATTTTGAATTCATTTTCATTTTTATGTATTCTGATTTCATTGAAATTTTTTTTTTTTTTTTATTATTATTATTTTGCTGTGTGTTTTTGTCAATTTAGTTGTTTTTTCTAGTTTTGTTTAAATTATTTTAGTACATCAAGTTAAACTAAATGAAAATGAGAAATGGTGCTTTGGCAACTAACTGAAAAAAATAATTTTATTCTATTTCAGTTAAAGTTTATTTTCATATTTTTAGTAACCTATACTAACCCAGAGATGAATTCTGTGATGTTTCCCCTCTTGTTTAATAAAATTATCAGTCAGTGAGTCAGAAATATAATATTGTTTTCCCTTAAAATTAAGTTTACTTTTCTGACCCCTCTGACAGATATTTATTCCTTATTTTAAGCATAAACTCAATTCACTTTGATGATTTTTTTTGAGAAAACAAGACTTGATCTCTTAAGTTATTTTGCATCTCAAATAAATGTCTTGATTAAAGGATTACTTCACTTCCAGAATAAAAAATTCCTGATAATTTACTCACCCCATGTCATTTAAGATGTTCATGTCTTTCTGTCTTCAGTCGCAAAGAAATGAAGGTTTTTGAGGAAAACATTCCAGGATTTTTCTCTATATAATGGACTTCAATGGGAACCAACGGGGTGAAGGTCCAAACTGCAGTTTCAGTGCAGCTTCAAAGGGCTCTACAGGATCCCAGCCGAGGAATAAGAGTCTTATCTAGTGAAATGATCAGTCATTTTCTGAAAAAATACAAATGCATATACTTTTTAACCACAGATGCTGGTCTTGCACTAGCTGGACTTCACGCATGACATAATCACGTTGGAAATGTCGCAAGCGGTTATGTCTTCGTCTGTGTGCTCCGGTACAGAAAGGTAGAGTAGGGTGAAAAACTCCATCTCATTTTCTCTTCCAACTTCAAAATCGTCCGACATCGCTGTTTTACCTTTTTTTGTAAAGGGCTTTTGACTTTCTTTGCACGTTGGCTTTGTAAACACTGGGTCGGTGCTTCAGCCTCAGTCACGCGTGACCTTTCCAACGTGATTACGTCATGCTTGAAGTCCAGCTAGTGCAAGACCAGCATCTGTGGTTAAAAAGTATATACATTTTTATTATTTTAGAAAATTACTGATAGTTTCACTAGATAAGACTCTTATTCCTCGGCTGGGATCCTGTAGAGCTCTTTGAAGCTGCGCTGAAACTGCGATTTGGACCCATTGAAGTCCATTATATGGAGAAAAATCCTGGAATGTTTTCCTCTAAAACCTTAATTTCCTTGCGACCGAAGACAGAAAGACATGAACATCTTGGATGACACGGGGGCGAGTAAATTATCAGGAGATTTTCATTCTGAAAGTGAACTAATCATTTAAGAATGTTTAGATATTAATACTGGAAAACAAGACAAAAATACCGAGGAAGATGCATAACTTTAATGTAACATAAGTCACTTTGGAGAAAAGCACAATGCATCAAATGCATAAAAATGTAAGAACTCTTCAGAAATGAAACTGCATTGTTTGCAGTGTATTGGTTCTTCATTAGTTCTCTCTCTGTCGCTATAGGCACAATGCGTCCCGTGCAGCGCAACTTCTACGACCCGTCCTCGGCTCCAGGCAAGGGCATCGTGTGGGAATGGGAAAACGACTGTGGCTCCTGGACGCTGTATGACATGGAGCTGTGCGTCAGTATCCAGAACGCCTACGAGAAGCAGCACCCCTGGCTGGACCTGAGCTCGCTGGGCTTCAGCTACCTGGTGGACTTCGACGGGATGTCCCAAACCAACCGGCAGAGCCAGAGGAAGCGGCGCATCCGCCGACGGATGGACCTGGCCTACCCGCTCATCGCCGGATCCATCCCCAAATCCCAGTCCTGGCCGGTGGGCACCAACTCGGGCACGCCGTGCACCTGTCAGCAGTGCATGCTGGTCCACAGCACGCGGGCCGCGTCCAACGCCATCCTGGCGCTGCAGCAGAGGAGGAAGCTGTACGGGACGGAGGGCGGAGCCACCGCCGTCGTCAGGCAGAGCAACACCTTCGCTGGCACCTCCCTCTGGTCGCCCACGACGACCGTTGCCAAGGGTCACCATAACAACATATCGCTGGGTGGCGGAGGCGGCGGGAAGGTGGACATGAATGGGGTGAAATTCCCATGCGCCCCTGCGATCGTGACGCTTCCGTCCAATCACGCGCTTACTATTAACGGACAGAACAATCTGAACCGGCCGGGAACGCAGCGGATCGCGGTGACGGCCAGCCGAGGATCTGTCCCTCCTGGGTAAGAGATGATTTGAGATCATATGTCACTGTTTCTGCTGTTTTCCAAAAGCATTCCAGAATGTCTCTCCTCTCTCTTAAAGGGATAGTTAACCCAAATAGGAAAATTCTGTCATCATTTGCTCATGTTGTTCCAGACCTGTATGAGTTTCTTTCTTGTGCTGAACACAAAAGGAGATATTTTGAAGAATGTGGGTAACTGAACTGTTTCTGGTCCCCATTGAGTTCAATAGTATTATTTTTAAAATTGTATTATTTTATATAATATTTGACTATTATTTATATATTATTTGTTTTATTAGTTATTAATTATGAATCTTTTTATCTATCTATCTATCTATCTATCTATCTATCTATCTATCTATCGCTCTATCGTTCTATCTATCTATCCATCTATCGTTCTATCGTTCTATCTATCGTTCTATCTATTCATCGTTCTATCATTTTGTCATTCTAGCGTTCTATCATTGTCATTCTATTGTCATTGTTGTTCTATTGTTCTATCTATCTATCTATCTATCTATTGTTCTATCGTTCTATCGTTCTATCTATCTATCTATCGTTCTATCGTTCTGTCATTCTAGCATTCTATCATTGTCATTCTATTGTCATTGTTGTTCTATTGTTCTATCGTTCTGTCTATTGTTATATATACACTGTATATAGGATTTACCCATTTGCACTTCATTGCATCATTCTTATCTTTGTTTATTGATGCTTTCAGTTTTGTAGAGATTGATCAGCTTGAACAGGGAAATAATCAATAGTGTCCTTTTGCGCTGAGACACTGAATCAGTCAAACACACACACACACACACACACACACACACACACGCTGCTGTAAAATTATCTATAAATCTTGTCCTTTCCTCTGAGAGTGTGAAAATCATTGTTTGAGAGCATCTTTGGTTGAGTTAAACCGCATACGTGTGGGTGTGTGTGTGTGTGTGTGTGTGTGTGTGTGTGTGTGTGTGTGACTTGGTTGCCATCCAGCCTGTGATACACAAGGGGAAGATGAATAATGGATCAAGGCAAAACGGAACCTCAGCAGACACACACACACACGCACACATATATATATATATTTATTCTGTTTTTGTTTTATATTTTATTTTATTTTGTATTTTATTTTTAATTTAATTTAATCTAATTTTATTTTATTTGCGATTCTATTTTATTCCTTCGGACAGTTCACTCACGCTCTGATAAAGCAGATCTTTACTGCTCATGCAGCTTGTAAATATCAAAATATAATTTTTTTACACATTGCTGCTGTTAATACAGAAGGAGATTGTATTGCTCTATTAAGTCTGATTACATTACGTGTGATTTTATCACCACCACTAGAGGGCAGAGTCTGACAGATCCTTATGCCCCAAACAAACCTCTTACACAAACTTACTATGGTACACTATCTGTAGTTTCCACCAAAATCCCATAGTTCAGTTCACTGTAGATGTCACTGAATCTCACTTCAGCTCATTTATTCAATGGCTATGCTCTCATTTATTCAGGCTTTGTGGATATAGTAATTCATTTAGATGTGTAGAGTAGCAAATGTTCAATTAATTGAATAATGTAATAATTTCATAAATCAGATGTGCATTTCAAACATCTTCATTATTCACTATAACCAATAGGCCAATTAAGCAGAATATTTTTTTAATTTTTTTAAATTATTTTATTTTATTTTATAATTAATTGAATTATGTAATAATTCCATAAATCAGATGTAAATTTCAAACTTAATTACTCATTATAACCTATAGGCCAACTGAGAAGAATCATTATTTATTTTATTTTGTTTTGTTGTTTTTGTTTGTTTTATTTGATAATTATTATAATATACTGAGCTATTATTTAATAAGTCAATGAATAACATTTCAAACATGATTATTCATCATAATCCATAGGTCAGTTGACCAGAATTATTTTATTTTATTTTTTTGAGCAGTATTATTAAATCTGGATTCATAGGTCATTGCTATCATGACATCTCTTCAATTACAAATATAGACCTACAGTTGTGCACATAAGTTTACATACCCCTTGCAGAATATGCAAAATGTTCATCATTTTAACAAAATAAGAGGGATCATGAAAATGTAGTTTCCTCTAGTTTCCGCTGAAACTCACTATATATGTGGTAGGAAATAGAAAATGTCATTGCTTTAAAGGGGTCATATGATGCGATTTCAATTTTTCCTTTCTCTTTGGAGTGTTACAAGCTCTTGGTGCATAAAGAAGATCTGTAAAGTTGCAAAGACTAAAGTCTCAAATCCAAAGAGATATTCTTTATAAAATTTAAGAGTCAACCACGCCTACCTAAAACGGCTCATTCTAACACGCCCCACGTATCTACCTCACTGTGTGGGAAGATTTGCATAACGCCGCCCAAATGTGCACGCAAAGAAAGAAGGCATAACTTTTAGTCTCACTGTAGTTTTGTTGACGCTGCAGCCATGTCGTGAAGACGCTGTGTGCTTCGTTGTTGTGTGTGTGTGTGTGTGTGTGTGTGTGTGTGTGTGTGTGTGTGTGTGTGTGTGTGTGACTTGGTTGCCATCCAGCCTGTGATACACAAGGGGAAGATGAATAATGGATCAAGGCAAAACGGAACCTCAGCAGACACAATTATTTTATTTTATTTTATAATTAATTGAATTATGTAATAATTCCATAAATCAGATGTAAATTTCAAACTTAATTACTCATTATAACCTATAGGCCAACTGAGAAGAATCATTATTTATTTTATTTTGTTTTGTTGTTTTTGTTTGTTTTATTTGATAATTATTATAATATACTGAGCTATTATTTAATAAGTCAATGAATAACATTTCAAACATGATTATTCATCATAATCCATAGGTCAGTTGACCAGAATTATTTTATTTTATTTTTTTGAGCAGTATTATTAAATCTGGATTCATAGGTCATTGCTATCATGACATCTCTTCAATTACAAATATAGACCTACAGTTGTGCACATAAGTTTACATACCCCTTGCAGAATATGCAAAATGTTCATCATTTTAACAAAATAAGAGGGATCATGAAAATGTAGTTTCCTCTAGTTTCCGCTGAAACTCACTATATATGTGGTAGGAAATAGAAAATGTCATTGCTTTAAAGGGGTCATATGATGCGATTTCAATTTTTCCTTTCTCTTTGGAGTGTTACAAGCTCTTGGTGCATAAAGAAGATCTGTAAAGTTGCAAAGACTAAAGTCTCAAATCCAAAGAGATATTCTTTATAAAATTTAAGAGTCAACCACGCCTACCTAAAACGGCTCATTCTAACACGCCCCACGTATCTACCTCACTGTGTGGGTTCTATCATTGTCATTCTATTGTCATTGTTGTTCTATTGTTCTATCGTTCTGTCTATTGTTATATATACACTGTATATAGGATTTACCCATTTGCACTTCATTGCATCATTCTCATCTTTGTTTATTGATGCTTTCAGTTTTGTAGAGATTGATCAGCTTGAACAGGGAAATAATCAATAGTGTCCTTTTGCGCTGAGACACTGAATCAGTCAAACACACACACACACACACACACACACACACACACGCTGCTGTAAAATTATCTATAAATCTTGTCCTTTCCTCTGAGAGTGTGAAAATCATTGTTTGAGAGCATCTTTGGTTGAGTTAAACCGCATACGTGTGGGTGTGTGTGTGTGTGTGTGTGTGTGTGTGTGTGTGTGTGTGTGACTTGGTTGCCATCCAGCCTGTGATACACAAGGGGAAGATGAATAATGGATCAAGACAAAACGGAACCTCAGCAGACACACACACACACGCACACACACACACACACACACACAGTAAAGAACTTAAAGAAGGGGTGTTAATCCTAGTAAATGTGAAGTGGAGATGTTTTCTAAAACCACTAACACACTTCAGCAGAAACACTGAGAGCAGAGCAGAGACGAAGAGACAGAAAGAGAGATATTGTGAAGACAGAAGAGTTCGC